AGGGGATGTAGGCAGCATAGAAATGCAGACTGCAAAAAGTGAAACGCACACATCTAACTACAAGAACAAGAGAAAAAAATAAACTAGCTTTACTGTAGAGGTAAAGGAAGTATAGAGCTAGTAAAACTTCACAGAAATGTAACTGATCAGCTGCGAAATGAACAAAATCGGGAGAGATGCAAATAATGGTTTGGCATATGTGAAACACAAATTCTATGCTACTGTTTGCATAAGTTCCAAAAGAAATGGATTACGCCTTTTGGAAAAATTGCGTCTTGGCAGGTAGATTCCCATGGTGCATAGGGAGTATTGAGTTGTCTGCTGTGTCTTTATACATGTAAAGAATCAGTTCTGTGGTGGTTTATTAGCTAAAATTTCCTAGTTTTCATTAATCTATGGGTGGATTATTTTGCCTGTAACTGTCTCTGCTTACCCCAGTACATTTCTGCTTTTTCTGCTTTCATAATTTGTTTGTTATTTACGCACAAGAAGAAATGGTCTAAATGTTAGATGGTGTTAGATGTACTACTGTTTTTTTTTTTCTAATAGCTCAAGTGACTATAGAGGAAATCACTCCACTTGTTCCTCCACAATCAGGAGACAAAGGACAAGAAGATTTAACAAGCTATTTCTTAGAAGCACTTTTGAAATACATAGTAATTCAGGTATGTTCTACAGTTTTCAAGCAAAGGAGTAGGAAACAACTAACACCTGTTTGTCCATTACAAGAAGACACTTTCTAGTAGCACTGCAAATGTATATAAAAATGTTTTAAACATTCCTCCCCCTTGCTGCCCCCCCTGCCCAGTGTCCTTTGTAAAAAAGCAAATTCTCCTAGAAAACCTTCACTTGTCTTCTGTGAGGGTTCATAGGTCTGTTACCACAGGGTCTTGCATCAGATTGCAGCGTGGAGAAAAAACAAGACTTGTTGATCACATCCAGAAAGCTGATTCCAGCTCCCTTCCTATTTCCACCTCCCTCGTCCCCACCCTGTTGCCTTCAACCAGCGGAAGGATCAACTAGGCTCTTTATTATGCGCATTTTTTGGTGGTCAGGGACTTCACTTTTCAGACTAAGGGGAACCTTCTAACTGAAAGCATTGAATTTTTGTGATACGCGCTTTTAATAAGTCTGAGCAAACTTTTGCTGGCCTTTCTCCTAGGTTTACACTTGGGCTAGCTGGCAAAACCAAACAGAAATAGCTTGTCAGGCTCAATAGCCTGACTGCCAGTGTCTGTGCTTAGAGTCGTATTTTTGCCCCCAGCTATCTTTCTGGAATTTCTGCTGTTACAGTAGAGTAACCATACAGCCTCTCCATTCTTTAATGGAAACATTCTGAGTTACTGGAAAGCTCTGGTTGGTATAAATGTTCCAGGGTGTGTTTAAAGCATGATACGTGATATGGCTTTCTAGCAAGTGTTTATGGGGATTTTTGTTTGTTTTCTTTTTTTCTCTTTTCTGATCAACAAGATAATTTCTATACAGATCTTGCAGGCATAGTGACATGACTCCTGTTGGTACCTTAGCTGTACTTTCTGGTAGTTTAGTTTTAGGAGACTTGTAAGCTCAAGCATAATACAGTACACTGCACAGAGAAAACTTGTGATTACTGCTACAGCTCTGCAAGTGAACCTCTTCAAAAGAGAAGCGATGGGAAACACTGCGTATTTGGAATACTTCAGATCTGGCAAAGCTTATGAGTTAGCAGTGCAGCTATTTTCAAGCAGAACCTGAGATCACACTTTCTTAGCGGCATTGCTGTGTGAACACTAGGGAGTAAGATTTTGCAGATCCCAAGCTACCTAAAAGGCAGATTATGCAGCTAAACTGCGCACAGAAAATGAAGACTTGAATGAGTATCTAGTACATGGTGTCCTCCCCTTTGTACTCTGACGCTTTCATCATCTCAGCCAGTACTACAGGTGCCTAGGACAGGGCATGGCAAGAGCTCTCATCAAAAACTGTGGCTTAGCTGTTATATTTTATGTAGATGATTTGGTGGCCAGTTGGCTCATGCTGCTTCCAAGCCTGCTGTGCTGTCATATGCCCAGCAAACTGCTTGGCTGCATGGCATGCTCTAGGTGTTCCAGGGTACTGCCTTCTGGGTCAGACTTGTCCAGTAAAACCCAGTTGGGTTTCTATCCAAAAGTTTTTGTTCATGCTTTTGCAGGTTGTGCTGGAGGCAATGGATGGTGGCAGAAATATGGCCAATGTTAAACTGAAACATTTAATGGCTTCCTTTTATCTGTCTTGCTCTGTGAACTTGCAGTGCTGGAGTGATCTTCAACCTCATTTTGTTGCTTCCAGCATCTCCCAGTTTGAATAGAAGTCATCATACTTGTGATCTGTAGTCTAAGCTTAATGATGACTATTCAGTTTGAATAAAAATACCCCCTGCATTCTTGAAGATAACTTCCCTCTATGTGATAACTTGGTAGTATTATATTTACCTTTGGATAAGTCATTGAAACAGGTGTCATAGAACTTGTTTGCTATATGAATGCTAAAGTCTTTTGCTCAGGTCTCTTTAGAGGCGCTGATAATTCCAAGCTGAATAGTTATTTTTTGATATTAAGCTCTGGTAAAGGACTTTGTGTCCTTTCTACATATTAGTCATCCATTCCATGGAATTATATTGAGAGGGAGTATATATGTATATATATTCCATTCTAAAGGCCCATTGCCCTGAAAATAGGTCATAATAGAACTGTGGGCTTGGAGTAAGGAATAGAGGATGGGGGAAAAAAAAAACAGGGGGGTAGTGGTGGGGAGCACTTTTCAGAAAGTTTCCTTTATATTATTTATGGTAGACTTCACAGATTACCCAACTCTACAGGCAGATGGATTCTCCAGGACAAAGTGGAAACTGCATGTTGGGTTTATTATTAAGGAGAACTTACCATGCTTTTCAGTAGGAAAGCATTTCGTAATGGGGAAGGCTTAGCACTCATGATCCATGAAAGTAGGTTTGTGTAATTCATCTTTAAAGTTGTATATTCTGCTGCTTGTGGTTGACAGATTTCTTTGTTTCATAGTGCCAACTGCACAAACGAACCCAAGTACCTATTATAATGAATATATGGACGCTTGTTAGTCAACATGTGTAAAAAGAAATTGGTGCACAAATGTTCAGAGTAGCATTTGGTAATTGTCCTTTTCTTATAAAAATTTTTGAAATAAAACCCTGGTTTTATTAAAAACAGTCAATTTGGGTTTACTTCCTGACTTGGCAAGATGACGATAAAAGCAGATGTGTTTCTATTTGTTTCAGTATGTGATATGTTCTGGTTAATTTTGAAGCAACATTTTGGAAGAGAACAGTCTTTGTTTCACTGACATTTCCTAGCTAGTTCCTGTTCTGTCTTTCTAAAAGTGTTTATTAAAATGCATATGATTTTGTTCCAGATAAATAACTTAGATGACTGATGAAATGGCTTCTTTCTCTTCTACTTCTAGAAATTTACTTTATGCAACTTCATTTATTTTTTTTTAAAGGTTAAGAGTTTAGAATGGAAGAACAAGGAAAACCAGGAAAAGGGATTTTCATTTTTATTCTCAAATTTTAAGAAATACTACTTACCTTCTATTTTCCCAAACATCTGTAAGGAGACCAGCTTATATAACCCTATACTTGGTAAGTGTTAACACACCTGATAAAATCATTACCTTTTCTCTAATAGTATAGCAAAGCAGTTTTTTGCTTGAGTCATGTTGCCCATAAAGAACATTGTTAAAAAAAAAATAAAAAAAAAATTTCGTATGAAAGAACATGTTATGGTTCCTGTTCATGGTTTTCAATTCTGTGTTTGTGGAGGCACCTGACCTCTTCATTAAAGTCAGTCTTGCTATATTAACCTGATTCCGGTAAATTAAATGTTCTCATAAAATAGTTCTTTAATGTGACGTCTGTTGTTGATTTAAACTGTGCTCTGAAGAGAAACTACTGCTGCTGATATAAAAGGTGTTAGTGTGCTGTTCTTTGCGGGATGTTGTCTTTATCTGTACAGAATCGTGTTTGCATCATACAGTACTTGCTCATAGTTCAGTCAGGGCAAAGTTGGTTGTGTTTTTGTGTCAACTGTATTTTGTCAAGAGCTTGCAGTAGGAAGAGGAAGTTAGGGTTTAACACAACCTTTAAAGCTGATGGTGCTGGAATATATCTTTTCATAGAGAGTGGAATTTTAGGTATTTGCTAAGCAAATCTAACTGGAGTTTTGTTCAGAGGCTTTTAGCCCATTCTAAACTGGAACATTGTTTGTGTATCTTGATTTTGCTAGCTCAGGTTTGCATGCACCCAATGCACGTGTTGGTTGTAAGTCAACAGAGTTCAAGACTCTTGTTTGCAAAGCAATACCATGTACACAGGCTTTAAGCTGCCATTTCATTACTTGAATAATATGGACACCTCACTGGTCCCCTTACCTGCTGATGCACCGTCGCACAAGGATTAGTAGTGATCTCCAGCCACGATTTCATATTCTAAAATCAAGCTGTCAGGGAAGCTTGTTGAAAAGGTCTTACTTTCTGCCAGTCCATGTACATGTATTTGGATTGTGGCTTTCTTCAGAGATGGATGTTTCAAAACCGTGTTCTCCTGGGAAAGACAAACACTGGACCTTCTCATTTAGGGGAGAAAAAACAGTCTAAATCCAGCCATAAGCAACAGTAGAACAAAAATTGTGTGAAGATACTGAAGAGGTTCAGTGATAAAATAGCTGCAAGAGCAATGGTAAGCAATGCTGAGAAAGCAAACCTATTGCTGCTTGATGTCCTTGAACAAGACACGTGGAAACAATATTTTCTTGTTCTATGAAGATCTTGATTGAGTATTCCACAGAAGCGTTACTATAGTCCTCTCTTTCTCTGTGAACCATAAACAAGAAACTTCCAAAGCCTTAGTAAAAAAGAGGACAATGGGGAAGAAGAAGAAGAAAAAATGGGCACAGACCTCCAAAACTACTGTCAATGCCTTAAACTGTGCCAAGTCAGCAACAATGACAAGGATTTTGGGAAGAATACAGTGATGAAAACAACAGAAACACTGGTGAGTAGAATAGTCTTTTCTCCTCTAAGAAGTTCTTCTCTGGCATGCCTCTCCCCACCATATTTGAAAACAATCCTGTGCCTGTTCTGAAGGAAATTAACACCTTTTAGGGAGAAAACAGGGCAAACTGACACTGAGCTTGCTAAGTCAGAAGATCTAAGATCAGAAGTTCTTCTGCAACTGGTGTAATGTTTAATTCAGGAGAAGTCATGAGGTACAAATCAAAATAGTAGTGTTAGTAAGCAAGCGTTCATATGAGGCATTACTGGAGATAGTATATTGGATTAAGATTTTTTTTTTCTTTTTCTTTCTGTTAAAGCAGATTTTCAGATAAGTATATCAGTTACAGTAACGAGCAATGAGCATTCCGGTTACAAGAAGCAAGTATTGTGCCTCCTCCAAGTTCTGGCTTGAGTATTACAGGCTTAGAAATAGAAAGACAGGGTTAGAAGAGCCCATGAGATTGTTTTGTTTTGTATGTCTTTTAACATCTGTATAGATTCTGTAATATAGTCTTGGAAACTTTTTAGTCAGAATGACAGATATGGCAGTAAGATTCCAGGGGCATTGTTTCTTCCATCATAGTAACTTGCCTTTCTGTGCCACTTCCAAGCCATTTAGATTTGGCTGCTTCATTTGCAGGGAGACAATAAAGTGGGCTGTCCTACAGCTCTCTGCAGCTCTTCATTCCTTCTGAAGCCTTTATTGCCTTAAAAAGTAAGCGTGGTCAAAACTACAAGTGTCCACCATTATAACTGTGTTTTTGCTAGCCTTTTCAATTTCTACCTTGTGTATGTCTTCCACCATCTACAGCTTCCTGCCCTTTTTGGCACTAGCTTACACCAAGTTCCCAGAGGGGGAAGGGGGTGTGTGGCGGGGGGGATTAACCCAAAACAAAACAGAAAGGAGAAATGGGAGGTCAGGGCAAGGCAGTATTTCCTCCTGTGCTGTTTGAGTCGCGCTAATAAATTTCTGGTTTGCTTTGGTTTTACATCAGTGTCCTCATCTGGAGCCTTGACACCTACTTCCAAGATGGACAGAAATGTGAAAATATAAGAATTGACTGACGGAGGACACGTTTGAGAAGCAGCTGCAGGAATAAATACAACTGCAAGAGAATAGAGAGAGAGGATGTTCTGAGAGGATATTGTGAGACTACAGAAGGAGACTGTGTGCTGCAAAGACATGTTTACTGGATGTCTTGTCTCTTTGAAAATACTGTCCGAGTGCTGTTACTGCACGGCCAGTATTGCAGCCTTCGCACCCTGCTGAATACTGGTAGATATCAGAGAGAACTGATTTTTGCATCTTTAAATACTGCGCTACCAGGCATTTGGTTCCTTTTCCTGGTTGTGCTGTTATACATGCTTCTGTTTAAGATGTATTAATTTTTAATTTTCTTATTAATCTGCTGCATTCCACAGAATGAAAACAATGTACTATTTTTTTTATTTGTAATAAATAAACTCTTTGTAAGCTTTTAAAAAAGTATTCTGTGCATTTGTTACATACTTAGGTGGATGAGTATGCAAGAGTCATGTAGTTTTTTTCCTCTAAAAAAATCATGTTTCCATTAAAAATAGCGGATGTAACTTTAAAATCTGTTCTGGAAACATTCCTCAGTTTAGCAGCATCATGATGAGTTTATGACTACTTTTGTATGTGGCTGTTGAAATGACACCGAGATATACCAGCTTGGATATCATCAATACTGATGATGGATGTTTTGTGTATTTGTAATGTTAGTGAGGAAATGTTTATAGCAGTCTGGCAGGTAGGCTGTATTCATTTCAAATGCTTAAAAGTATATATGGCTGTCATAAGTTAATTGCCTAGATTGTAGCTGATTATTTCTTTGCTGCTATCCAGTTTTGTTTAGCCTGCATTATGATACTATAACCTGGCAGAAGTTATGCCGGGATCCCTTAGAACAACCCTTCACCTTGCATTAGGAAGATACGGTCAGGGAACAACTTCATATTCTTCAGCATGACTATTTTGCATTTTCTTTGACTCCCACCATTAGTATCTTTGAACTTCTTTCTGGCTTGTAAAACCATGGAACATATCTCTTGTGTACCGCAAGCTATAGAAGAGTTGGGGCAGTGCTGAAACACCATGTCTGTCCAATGTATCCCTCTCTGTGTCTGGATAGGACCATCATTTTCCATGGCTCCTCCTTTTTGTGGTGTTCGTTTTTTTGTTGTTGCTTTTCTTTTTGGGTTGGGTTTGGTTTTTTTTTTGTGTGTGTGTGCTGTCACCAGATGAAAATCCTCATACTGAAACACCAGCAGCAGGTTGTGTATGACAGCACATGTCATAATCAGTCCTCAGACAAATTTTCATCTACTTTTTGTATCTGAGCAGATCTCATACTTGCCCTTCCAGAACTAGGAATAGAGTTGACACACCACTCCCAGAGAAATGTCATTTGCACCTGAAAGTTTTGTAGCTGCTTCAGATTGATTTGTATTGCAGAACTGTTCTACACCCTGTCTTGGGTTGTGAAACCCAGAAATTGCATTTTGCAGTGTTGACTTATACATGGCTGGAATTGAACTGGGATGTTGATGTCTATCCCTGCAGAAACGTGCATTATGCACAATTAAAAAACTGTCTGTCCGTGTGTCCCCACCCAATCTTTGTAGTGTTTTTACCACACATGTCAATTCCATCCACATTGAGATACTAAGGACTGTCACTTTTTTTTCTGAAGCAGATTCAGGAATCCTGATGACACTGTCAGCATCTTTGTCACTAGCACAGTAGAGAACCAGAAGAGCTAAACAGTTCTGAACCATTGTGTAGAACACAGGATGGAGAAAAAGAAATTGTAGGTTATAGTCCCCAGATAACCACAGTTCCTGCCAGCTGGCGTGCTGCGGAGCATCATTGATTACATTCCCTGCAAGCTAGTACAGAAGCTATGGCCATGGAATCATCTTTCAGCTAAGTCAGAGGAGGATGCAGGTGCCCTTGCTCTGGCAGCAAAGTCCAGCAAAAATAGATAGTGCAGATGTGGCATTGCTGCAAAGCCACATGAGTTTCACAGCTTTATCCAGGATTTGTCTCTGTTCTATTCATCTTTCACCTATTGCATTTCACCTATTGCTTTATCCAGGATTTGTCTCTGTTCTATTCATCTTTCACCTATTGCAGGCCCAGAAGAGGCTGTGTTTATTGCAGCTGCAGTTAGCGTACAGTTTGGAATTAAAGCTCTCCCACTGTAGCCGTGATTAGATGTTGGGATCTGTATTGGTAAAGAACTGATGACCGTTACCACTAATTATATTGCTTTATTGTGGATTGCTGCAGACCAACATAGAGATCTTTCTAGGGATGCATTAGGAAAGGTAGTGATCCTTTGCATCTGAACTGCATGTCCTTTTCCTAGTAGGTTTGATAGTAGGGGATAAGTGACATACAGGACTCTTAAAAGGCTGTAAAATGGTATGAGTTGCATAAATTGCTGCTTAGTAACTTAAACAACTATAAACACTTCTTAAGAAATTTGGCGATGTCTTAATTCTGTATGAAAGTTGTTTTCTTGTGTAGGCCATATTCTAGTCTAGTTAATAGTTATTTTGCTACTTAGAACTCATTTGTGGTTTTCAATTAAAGTGTGAAGTAGTGAGTTTGGTAAAGTTTGTCTTTAAATACTGAGTATAGCATGTAGCTTAAAAAAAGCTGAAAGAAATTAAATGTGTTTACTTGTTAAGGAAAAAAAATGCAAGCAAGGCTGTAAGGCTATAGAAATCACTTTCAGATAATAAACTAAAGGTTATGCATAGCAGAAACGAGGTGCTGTCTGTTGGACCAACAATATTGTCTCCCTCCAGGAGAAAATTACAGCCTTTTGATACCTTATAGTCTACTTTTGAAATTTTCTGTATCACATCCATTTTGGCACATCTTGGGATGAATTGTGCAACAGCGAATGTGAAAAAACACCACCTCTGAAAGTTCATGTGTATGGTTTATGGTTTTAGGGTTTCTTTCTTAAATAGAGCTTTCTCTCTGCACATGTTTTTAAGATGATGTGTTTCCTTACAGATATACCACAAATGAGACCAAAGCCACACTATGTAATGGTTAAGAAAGATGCTGAAACCAATGAGGCAATATATTGCACAAAGGAGCCTTTTATTAAGGCTCGTGTTATTGTCATTCGATGGTTGGTGTCTTTCTGGCTTGAGCCAAAACCTCATACAGGACCTCATATTCCTGGGATGGAAGGTGAAAATGTGCCAAAGAATATTCAGGTAAACCCAAATGTACAAAAAAGTGGGTTTTTTCATGGTTTTGTCTTAATTCTTATGTCAGCAACATGCCCTCCTCCAAAATTATAACTAATGAAGAATTAAAAAAAGGAGTACCTAAACAAATTTTCTGCTTATGAATTCACTTTAGAAGGACTCTCTATGCTTCTTTTCTTTTTTTTTTTTCTTTTCAAATTCCGCTATTTTGTTTTTAATCAAATAGACAAAAGAAGCCTTGAAATGCAGTGAATCCTATCTTTGGGTTTTTTCCTAAATTCTTTGCACTGTTTTAAATTATACTGTTGTATAACTGAAATTGCACTGTTCAATTGTTGTACTAAACATGAGCTGTGAAATATTCTTTAATTTTTGTTTCAGAGAGCAGCTGCAAGCATGGCTTCAAGGGAGGACAGCAAAAATGACAGTACTGATAAGCAGGATAGAAATGCAGAGCCAGAACAATCTCATTCTAATACAAGTACTCTAACAGAGAGGGAACCAAGTTCTTCCAGCCTCTGCAGTATTGATGAAGAGCATTTAACCGATATTGAAATTGTCCGGAAAGTCTTTTCTTCTAAAAGAAGCAATGTTAATTTTCTAACTGAGATTTTTCGACAGGTAAAGACCCTCCCTTACAATGCAATAATCCTGATTATTGTATTATAAATGGTCATTATGTCATGGTTTTCTTTCAAGAGCATTTGCTAAGCAGAACGTTATATAAATGTACATTTTTTTTTTCTGTTATCTTGCCTTTAAGGTTTAAGAATTGAAAAGTTAAAATTCTGTAATATTTTGTCTGCAGAATATCCCAGTTCCTGATTTTTCTAATTTTATTTCGTTACTAACCAGTTCAACAACATTTGATTTGGGCTTTACAGTTCCCCGTAGGCAGGAATGTTTCATGTTTTCTTACATCAACCCTGGAGCTATTAGAGCTCACAACCAAGCATAGTAAAATAAGCTTCCTTCGTGAGTCTGCAGCTGTTAAAGAGCTGTTTTAGGAGCAAGTCCTTACCTTGATAGCCTTCATCAGAAGAGTGGGACAGGTGGCTCTAGAAGGTCACAGCTTCTGCATCTGACTTTACTGAAACCAGAAATGTTAGCTGAGCATATTCAAAACCGTGTTTCTCAACTGGAAACTATTAAACAAATTGTAATATGGAGTCTTTCTTTGTAATGTGAAAATATGTAGCTTTGAATTCCGTGTGGGAGAATAGAACCAGATAGGCTTTCTTTATGGCTCATGCTATAGATCAAAAGATGAAACAATTTTTCTGGATAATAGTAAAGAAAAATATACTATATTCTACTATACTATATTTCAATTGAAATGCACGACACTAATTTCTTTAAATAGAAGAAAACTAAACATTTTAGAACTCCAGTATGTCTGGATGAAAGGATATTTTTGAATGAGGCAAATAAATGTCAGAAGTTTATCCACGTCCAACGTGTTGAAGAGCTTGGACACATTACTGAAGGAGATAAGAGTTACCCAAATTCAGCTGCCGCTCAAGGGCTTAGAGAATCGGAGAAGTTGAATGTAGAGTCTAAATTATTGATGGTCTATTTAGAAACTGCCCCCTCCAGGGAAAGCAGCAGAAAAGGCAATTTTCTTCATTCTTTTCACAAGGCACTCCGTGTTATGTAGATTATTTACATTTCATGTGTGGTTATGAGATCTCATCTAAGTCATTGTTTAGCCAGAAGTTTTCAGTGTAAGTTCATTTCTAATATGCCAGATGTTTGTAATTTTTCTAAAACATTGGGGCTAAGTTATTTCAGTCAGGAGGAGGTTTCAGCTGTACTGAATGGTGGGAGGATTGTCTGTAGAAAAAGTTTTCTGCGTTTTAGACTCCAGGGTACCAAAAAAACGTATTTGGACTTGCAGAAGACTGTTGAACTTGATGAGTGATAGTGTGTGACTGATGAACTTGTCAGTGGAATTCTGTAATACATGGCAAATTCTTTTTAGTGTGATAGTGGCATGAAATGTCCATTTCCAGAGAGACAACACACCGCTTGTGTCAAGTGGGCACTCCTAAAGACATGGGCAATGGGTTTTCAACATTCACACCATGGACTCCATAAAATTATGTGTTAGTGTGGTTTATCTGTTCTTTTTTAAATACAATTAGGGAATTGTAGTCTTTGGTAAATGTATTTATAGTTAGTTAAAACCTGACTAATGTTAAAAGTTTCTGATCTTTGACTAGTCAGTTACCAGTACAGCAGATATGGAAAACCTCCTGAAGAGGGCACTGACTCGCCATCACAGTGACTCAAATGAACGAATTTTTGAAACAATGATTCTGAAGTCTTTTCAGGGAGTCATTTGTTTTAAGGATACTCCTTTGTAAAATCTCATTTAGCTAAACATAAGATACATGGCTACCAGTAATGCATGTCACTTGAATTTTTGTTAGTCATTTAGAATCGATTTAACTCCATTCTTCTAAATCCTCTGAATGGAAGATGTTTTAATAGAAATTTATGCTTATTTGTTTTGCGTACTATTGATGAGTGTTTGGACCTTAATTTCAGCAGGCTAGGTGTTGAGTAAATATGCCTGTATGGATTCTCATATATCTCTCCGTGGCAGTGTAGTTTTCAAAGTGTTTTCGTGTTAAAATGATATTTTTTTTTTCATGTTTTTAGTTTACAGATTAAGAAAGTGATCAAGCATTTAGGTTTAGGTGTAATTTATTTGTTAAGAACCTACAGTTGCTGTGGGGTTTTTTCCCCTTATCCCTTAGAACCTGTACGTTATAGAGTCCAACTTGATTTCAAGTATTGTAATAATTTTTTTGTTTCTTTTCCTACTCACAGGCATTTCTGTTGCCAATATGTGAAGCAGCTGCCATGAGGAAAGTGGTAAAGGTGTATCAAGAATGGATTCAGCAAGAAGACAAGCCTTTATTTATGAAAGAACCTGAAGAAATAATGCAGTGCACAACTGTAGATTGTGATGAAAGTGTCGTTGACCACAATTCATCAGAGAAAGCAAAGGAAAGAGAAGAGGTAAAACAGTGTTGGTTAATATTTGTGCGTCTTTTGGAAATGCTAGTAGGCAGAGAAGAGGCCTCCTAGACAGATTATATGTGGTTTAGTTTGATGTCAGAGCATTTGTGGGGGAGAATCAATGGTAATTAAACAGTGCGTGAATGGGCTACTGATTTGATCCGTTATATGTAGATTTTTAATATGGTTAGTTCAATTTAAAATTTCATTTGGTTTTATGAACTATTCTCAAGATGTGGATTATACAGTATGCCAGCCTTCAGCTGTGTAAAAACTATATAGAAATAAAAGGATGAGGAAAATAGTAGTTGTTTCATCCAGATACTTTAAAATAATTGTTACAAACTTCTTAAAATACGGTTATGTCTTTAAGATGCATCTTAAACATCTCTCTGCCATTGTTTATCATTTAATATCGATTGTATCCTTTTTCCTTTAATATAAAAACAAAATATCTGTCTACAGATCTATAGGATTTTAAGAAAACAATATTTTTCAGGAAAAGGGTATGAACTCCAGTCATGTTAGAAATTCAAACTGGGCAAGAAATGGCTGTTACGAAGACACTTTGCATAAAATGTCTGAAATTGATACTGAAGAGCAAAATGTACGAGCTGGAGTGCAGTCAGTATTGCAGGTATGAAATAGACTTAATATCTGATTTTCATCCTCATAATAAAGCTCTTGTTATCAGTACATAAAGAGTGGAATATAATGCAATACTCCTGCAAGGGAAACCCATGCTTCGTCAAAGTATCTCAGAATTTTTTATATTCTTTTAGATTTAAAAAGTACAATGATAAATAGTGTTAGAGTAAAGACAGTGGTTCACTATGTCTTTATTGACCTTAAGTAGGACAATGTATACACAGGTGTTGGCTAACACAGTAAAAAAATCTTTTCGTTTTGCATCAGGACATATGTTCTGCTCTGCATCGTATCACAGAAAAAATAATTCTCATTTGAGTGCCACATCATCAAATTACTCTAATTAAGTGTTTAATGAGAATGCTTAGAAGCTTTTTTCTTTTAAGCTATTAGTCACCACACACAAAATATGCAAACCTGCAGTTTTGCTACTCTGAATAATAAATTGTGCAGGGATATTTTCTCATCTTTATCTGAATTACAGATTGGATGAGCATATAAGTCTTTGAAAAATTTGATCAGGCACCACAACTCTCTAGTTCAGTGATATCCTTAAGGAATGGGAGAGTTGCAGAAGTTCCTTAACATAAATTTTCTAACTGCTTCGGCAGGGTAGAAATTGTGTTAATTTCAAATGTTCAGCAAAATGCTTTACTGAAGTTGAGGATATAGAAAACGAATTGTGTATAGTTTGAGGGTCTTTGAAATGCTTTTAATGTCATATAAAATGTGTGCATTTTATGTATAATACGTGCATGCACATACATGTATATAGATGTGTAAATGGCTGTAGCCTCTGTAATATTCTTTTATCCAGAAGAAAATTGATTCTAAACAAAATAAAATAGACATGTGCATTTGCCATTCCACTGGGTGCACTTTTACCATGGGTGACCATGCTAATTAGAACTCCTTATTTTTACGACAGCTTGAATGATTTCCTAAATACGGTTTCCGATTGTGCTGTTATATATAGAAATATGTTATCTATAGAAATAACATTGTTATTGTAACACTGTATTATATAACACTGTTATATATAGAAATAAACTTTGTAACTGAAATCACTTAAATTCAAAGATGTTACAAAAATTTTAGCTTTGTAATCTTTGCATACAGTGACTATTTAGATTATGAAGTGTTTCTGAGAAAAGAAACAGTGAAGTGTATCTGTTTGCCATCTGTTGCTAAGGTTTACACATCTGAGAATGCCTAGGAGACTCCTCATGTTGGAGTTTCTTAGAGAAAGGTTCATTCGATCAGCAAATATATTTCTTTTTTTTTTTTTAGACCAAAATGGAGTCAAGACATCATTCTAACCCAGTACAATGTCTGAATTTGAGAGGTTTCCCAACCTGGAATCACATTTGACTTTTTTTCTGTGAATCAAGAATCCCAAGATTCTGTCTTGAGTTTTCTTCCCATTTAATTCTTGCATAGACTTATTTCTAGGCACTTAGAGTAGGGTATGTTCATTTGTGGAACATTCTTAAATTAGGACATTGAGGCTAGTGAATGTAAAGCTGCACACTCATAGTTTTTAATGATTAAAACCCAAAGCCCTCAGTAGAGGCAAATTACAACTGTAGAACAAATGATTTCCTGTACATGTACATTAAGAAAGACAAAAATTCAGTGGAAATCTAGGGCTCACCATTGATTCAAATACTTTTTAAACTTACTTAAAAATATAACGACAGTTCAGTAGTAGCTCCTGTAACTCCTACAGTGTCCTTGCCTACTTTGTTTTCATCATTTTCATTCTGAAAGCTCTAATTCACTGTCCACCAAACTCGGCTGCTCTGGATAAGATATCCTGTTTCCTATTTTTGGTAAGCCTTAGTGATTACAATGGGATGAGTGCTTTAGTTTCTCCCCAGAACGTGACACAGGCCTTGTCATGCTGAAGCACACACTGTGTACCAGGACTATCTCAAGTAGTTTATATTATATTAGTTAGTTGCTGGCTTACAGGTGGAACTTTTGTCCAGTGGACTCCTTTACTGGGACATTTTTGTCCATCTTATTAACATAATTTTATTGAGTAGTTTGTTGTACCATGTGTCTATAAGAGCAAAAATATACAAATATGTTTTGTAGAAAAAAATGGGGGAAAAAAATAAATCAGTGTTATTGTTTCTTTACCATCACATCAAGCTAACTTATGTTTAAATATATACTTCTGAGTGCATATGCAACCTTTTCTGTTATTTATAGATTTTTCTCTTCCTGGTTATTACCAACTGAATTCCTGAAAATGTCAAAATGCTTCAAGCTCATAACATCCACTCTTTTCTACTTACAGGTTTTTATAATAAATTCTTCAAATATATTCTTTCTTGAACCTGCAAATGAAATTAAAGCTCTGCTGGATGAACACACCGATATGTGTAAACGCATTCTTAATATCTACCGGCACATGGTAGTCCAAGTGACTATGGACAAAAAGACATGGTAAAATGCTAACACTTTTATCTTAGATTATTCACAAGACATGTGAAAATTTACTTGGTAGTAAACACAGTAGAGTGGTATTGACTGTGTGACCCAGTTTCTCTAAATCAGTAAATATGTGGACTTTACCATCGCGGACAAATTACCACAGGAAAAGAGGTTATCTGCTCTGCTAAAGCCATTAGTAAGCATATAGTTAGTTTGAGGCAGCTTAGTTCTCAGTGGAAAAAGTAGTAAGGTGGGATATACAGACTACTATTAAGGAGCTACTGATGACTTTTATCAAGGCTATTTTGCTCATGTGTCAAAGTGCTAAATATGAAAATATATATGAAGCTTCACAGCCGTATTTAAAAATGAACAACAAATCCTCAGATAAGCATGGGTAACTATTATAATCAGATGAGGGTTGCTCTTGATCTGTAATTTTGTACAGGAGTCTGTGTACTGTTTAATTGTTTCGTTCCTTTCCAGTGCTTAAGGTGCTTAGCAGGTACAAGGGACCCACTTTCAAATTCATTCCTGTTATTTCCCTCTCTCCTTTAAATAGCTGTCTTTAATGAGGTAGTATATTGCCACTGTTCTCCATTGCAAGGAAACAGTAGCAAAGGGATTTCAAATGGCTGATTTACTCCCTTGTAACTTGCATTCAATCTGTTACTAGTATTTCCTGAACTCTGGGTAAGTAGAGCTGGCATTATGTGTCATACGAAGCTTGTCTCCTCTTGTGAGGAAATAAGGAGTCAGTTCAAGGCCAGCCACTGGGAAATTTGAGAGTAATAATTGAAAACAGATTCCACTAGATTAGTGTTTTCTTCCCCAGTTCCACTTCACTGTAAAGAAGTGATTCTAGACTGTGATGGCAAAGATTGTGCCACGCAAAATAATTGAACTATGTTAATGATAATGTAACATTGCAAAAACCTGTCATTGATACCAAGAAGAAAAAAAAAAAAGTAAAAGCTCAGTTTGGAAGTATAATTAAAACCTTGCCTAGTTTCAGGCCGTTGAAAGTGGTAGCACTTGAATGACCTGGCAAAAGTCGTTAGAGGACAACAGGGGTTTCTCACTCTTAAGTGTGAAAAGAAGATTGGTGTAATTTCTTTTGCAAGAACCAAGTTAGGCTGTTTGTAATCACTATATCCTGTTTTGGAATGCGTTTGAGCAAGTCAAGCTCAGTTATTATCTTTAAAAGTATCCTGATATATACCGAAGTATATCAAAACAGTAACTCCAAGTTTAATGTTGTTTTGCAGGGAACAGATGCTACTTGTGCTGCTCCGGGTTACTGAATCTGTGCTGAAAATACCACCCCAAACTTTCTTGCAGTATCAAGGAAGAAAAAACTCCACTTTAGCTGGAAGACTTGCAGGACCTCTTTTCCAGGCAATTAAACATAACTTCACTTTAATTAATCCATCTTAATTTTGACCAAGAGATTAGATGCAACAACCACTGTTGGCTGGTTTGTCATCTGAAATCATTGATCATGTTACCCAGATAGTGTGAATGGTGTGGGTTAAAGAACTGGCTACATTTGTTACTTTTCTGTCCGATATTTAATGACACTGTGACAATGGTTTTTGGTTTATACTTGCAGAGTGCTGTTGTGGTGGCTTCTCTGTAAAGAGGATCTGTAAAGTTTCTAGATTCTGTAGCAGGAAAAAGAAAAGGATACACAAAATATGAATGATGAGAACTAATTGAGAACAGTATTACAAAACTTGTAAGATACTGAAAGATCTTTCATGAGTCAAACCAGTTGTTCCTGTATCTAAGTCAGAAGCCCATGTTAACATAACACTCAGTAATTCATGAAAAGTACGTGTGTACTGGTGAGGAAAAGAATGTCAAGACTATACAGAAATTTCTGTGGCAATTAGAAACTTTTTTGTAAGCAGTAACATTTGAATGTTGTCATCTTATGTTCGGAACCCAACTTTTCTCACTTTATTCTTTTAGACTCTTATAGTAGCTTGGATCAAGGCAAATCTAAATGTGTACATCTCTCGAGAACTTTGGGATGACTTGCTGTCTGTAATGTCATCTCTGACATACTGGGAAGAGCTGGCCACTGAGTGGTCGCTGACAATGGAGACACTAACTAAAGTATTAGCTAGAAACTTGTATAGTCTGGACCTCAGTGACCTGCCATTGGATAAATTAAGTGAGCAGAAGCAGAAAAAGCACAAAGGCAAAGGTAAGACAACACTGTATACACATCGTGTGAATTTGAGCTGGGGTAATGAGATGTTGGGCACAGCAGAATTTTGGTCTAGCCTTTTTGGTATGTCTAATTAGGCATCTCTATCACCTGAAATAACTCAGTTTCTTTAAGATAAGGCAGCTTTTTAGAACCACCACAAAATCTCTATGTAAAGATTCAGTCCTGCAAATAGGCAAATATGAAATGTAGTTCTTAAAGGTGTGTTGAATTTAACCTAAAATGTTATACTGTAGTGGGTTATGCCTTTCTCCTTTCATCAAAGGAATTACCTAGTTGAGTCCCAATCATAACTTCTTGAAAGGAACTAAGATTACACATCTGGTAAAAATTAACTAGTTAGCAAGTGGCTATTGCAAGCACAATTGGAATATTGATCCTGAAATCCAATGAATGTTGTTAAAAGATTAAATGTAGGATGAACATAGTTTTGTTTGGGTTCTAATTCGTCTCTAAGCCATGGTGAAGACAGGTTTTGTTGGAGGTCTTGTTGGACTGCTTAAGAGAAAGGATACTTTTAATAATCCATATGAATGGTACCAGCTTTTAAACTGATTCCTAAACAATGCAGGAAATACTCCATAGTACATAATGTGGGGAGAGGAGGTGGGTACTTGCTTATAATGGTACAGTTCTGAAACTGGTAAGGGACAGGAAGTCTGTCCTCCTGGATAGAGTGCTGGATTGAGAGTTGCAAAACCTGGATTCTTTTCCCAGATTGGAGACTTTTTGCATGTGACCATGAGCAATCACTTCTGTCTTTGTTTCCACTTCTGTTAAACATGGGTAACAACACTGTTCACCTTTTTAAAGTGCTTTGAGATCTAATAGTGAGAGGCAGGATTATAATTAGGGTGAGTAACAAAGAAGGAAAAAAAGTGTAATTTTTAGTCTACTTTTTAACCTCTCTGTGTTCTGATTGATGTGGTTCTCCAGTCAAGTGTGAAGGAAGGTACTTCCTACAATATCCTAGCGTTTGTTAGTGAGACCTAATGTATGTGGATGTTCATTTCCCTCTCTTAACAAGATAATAATGATGAACATGTTGTACTGGGGCTCACTTCCCAAGACAATGCCCTTTTAATGATTGTAGGTGTTTATCAAATATATGTTTGGATTATATGAGTTCAACGTGGATAAGAAAATGCATTGCAAATATGCTTTAGGTCACTTTTTTTTTTTGGCATACAGTTGTTTTGATAGCTCCTCATATAAGCTTCAATATAAATGTCAAATCGGAATTTGTTCCATCTTTTCTTAATCTTAGTATAGTATTTTTTTTGTGAATTTCCAAAGAGCTTAGTTCTCTGAGCCCATCATCCCATTTTTTTGCTTTTGCATTTGGTGTTAAAATATTTGATCATCTTTATTTCGTGTTCCTCAAATGTAATGAATTTTTTTGGAAAAAACTACACAATATTAATGGTCTGTAATGTATGATTTTGTGTGTCTTGTCTAATAGGAACATCAAAGGAGAAGTTTCTATAGTTACACATTTTTATCAGGCTACAGCCTTTGTAAACCCGGTTTTCTTGTGGTTTTGCACTTGATCCGTCAGAAAAGAAAATCACAATAGTTAAATAGCACCAACATTTCTGAAAAAGTTGGAGTATCCCTCAGTGTTAATGCTTGCTGAGTGTGTTTATATATTTAAAAACCAGTAATGAGCTGTTTAGCTTTTAAAATCATGCTTGCTTTGATAACATTATTCTATCCAACTTTAAAACTCTTTGAAAGAGCACAACTACAAATATCTGGTGATACCAGAATTGAAGTGAATAGATTTACAATTCTATTTTTGCAGGCGTTGGACATGAATTCCCAAAATCTTCCGTTGATAAGTCCTTTTCTAGAGGCTGGAGCCGTGATCAGCCTGGACAAGCACCAATGAGACAACGCAGTGCTACGACCACTGGGTCTCCAGGAACGGAAAAGGCAAGAAGCATAGTACGGCAGAAAACAGTTGGTACGTATCTGTAAAAGCTGATATAAGTGACATTTGAGAAAGGGTAAGAAATTAATAACTGCCTTTTGTAGCAATGTGGATAACTTCTTTCCGCAAAAGTATACTATCTTTAATGATTAGTTAAATGTGTAAATTATGCAGCCTTATGTGCTTTAGGGTAGCGAATACCTTGTAGTTACTAGAATTACAGTTATTGCAAAGGAAGGTAATGCAGTTGATGTATTAATTCTTAATGAGTTTGATCACGTGCTTAAGGTAGATTGGAAAAATAATACTGATGTGTATATATGAAAAAGAAAATAGCTGGAATGGTTTGAGTAGTGGTATGGATAGGTGGGTAATAGAAGGCTTTTTAAGTGTGTGTTTTTATAAACTGTGCACAAAATAGATTGAGTATTTTCCAACTGTACAAAGAAATATGTGAGAAATATGTATGTATCTGTGTAGTTTATAAAATATTTTGTCTTTTACTGTACCCTGAATCTTGCATTAATGAAAGATTGGCACATATGTGTGCGATTCTCCATTTCTGAAGTCATTTATTTCTCAACTTCATTACTCTTTCCTGTGTTAGAAATGAGTGGTACTAAACAGTGCTTTAGGTGGATTGCTCAGAAGAAGATTCATTTATGTTCATATGATTTGCTTAGAATATCGTAATGTGAACTGGACTACAAATTTCTTTACTCTGTTGTCTCATCTTGATGATCTCGGTGCTGTCCCTTATGTGAAGGAAAATTAAGCTGATTTTACTTTTTTATTTAAAAGACCACTTTTTAAGGAGTATCTCTTGCTTTTTCACTCTGTGTAGTAGTAGTGGCTTCGGTCATTGTGTGTTGTTGCTTCACTGGTACTTCTTGGAAGCAGGTACATTCTGATACAATTTTAGAAACTGAGGATGCATATTGGCAGTTGAATATATAATTGTGTTAGCTTTCAGGAATTAACATTTTCTTTCTCTTTCTAAATATATTTGCAATTAATATTTTTAAGTCTCAGAGGTTATTTAGCTGAAGTTTTTATTTTAATACCCTTCAAATTTCTTAATTTAAAAAATCTGTTTTCTCGTAAGGCTTTTGTTGGTGTGGGAGAGTTAATTGTTCTATACGCAGTACAAACACGTGAGAAATTGAAGTCACTACTCCAAAATTGACATGCATTCTAATGTTACACAGCTTTTCCTGTATCTCATGCTGACAGCACGTAGTTTGACTAAAGTTTTCCTTATGGATCACAGATACTATAAATGTAATTTCTGCTTCTCTGTAGATAGTCTGTGATTAACTGTTGTGGTGTTTTTGTTTTAAATCTTAATTGCCTTAACAAGGTAAAGCTCATGTTAAAATTTCTCCTTCCCAAATTGTTAATATTTCAGATACTCTGTCAGAAGGTTATGTTGTTTGGTCAATTTATTAATGGTTTTGTTTTGCTGCTATGTGAAAGATGGCTATTTATATGATGTTAGCCCTAAAATGACTGAAATTTATCCTAATCAAGCTATATATTGACCTGGTTAGCAGCAAACTAATCTGATTTTAGTTTCACTGTACTTTAGCTTCCATGATTTTGTTCCTTTCCTCCAATTATCTTACATATTTGATATTAATAAGCCAAGTTTGTATTACTGTAACCAGCTAAGATTTCATATTGTAGAATACCATCTGTGGACAAGCATCACAGCATTAGTAGGATGATTTTAAAAGACGAAAAACCCCAAAAGAGTTGCCAGACTCAGAATCCCAAATGCTTCAGTTTTTTGAAAAGTTAATGAAGAATATGTTACAAAAGCGTATGTCTTAACTGTCTGCAAACAGTTGCTTGTGATTGTCTCTCAGGTCTGCTAGGAGAGTTGTTGGGATGTTTCTTAATCTGTGCCAGTTAACACAGGGTCACATAATAAAAAAACTGTTTCTGGTTTATAGTCACAATAAGTAAAATTTTCTGTAGAAGATTTTGCTGGTCAGATCTTTTTGTTCAGTTTAACATTAGCTCCATAAGCTAAGTCTGGAATTGAGTCAGACCTCAGATATGTCGTATGATATCTGATATCTAGTATATTTCCTTTGATTGTGAGTAATATACTCTATATCTGAGGAGGGGGGATGTGCATGTTGAATATTTTATGGTAAGAAAAAGCTGGGGTTTCTTTTTCATCTGTTTTGTGTTGTACACATTTTGTGTACATCTGTGCACCTCTATTTTTTTTGAGCCATCCTCATGCCAGCACACATTTATTGCTGCACCAAATTTGTGTGTGTGTGTGTTACTCAAATAAAGATCACAGCTTTTCTGATATGCAGTGTGTACATTTTTAGCCTAAACTTATGTAAAGTAATTTTTGGAAAGGGGCCTTTAAATATGATATGCATATGGGTTGAAAAATCGTCTGTAAGGCTAGATACAGAATTATATTTTTTAAACAAAGAGATGTTAAAGCCTTACGCGTACTTGCCTTTTTTTTTTTTTAATTGGTTTCTGTCTTATAAACTAAGTTAATAGAGAATGGCTTCAGCTTTAAAATGTCTGTCTTTCTGAATTGTTTTTTCAAACTGATGTTAAGACTCCACTTAAGTTGTGCTGCATTTGTCAAATGTGTTTTCTGCTCTATGTACATTGACCTGCCCAAGTTATCTGCATGTTGCTGTTAGGGACAATTCTTTAACCTGATTTAGAAGTGTGGTGCGCTCGACCTTCACTGCACTCCCTTCATGTAGTTCTGATTCCGATACAGATCAGGAGCACTAAGATTCTAAGTCTATATTCCATGTTGGTTTGAAAATGTATATAGAAAAGTTCAAAGACCGATTAAAGATTGTACTGATGATATTTATATAAGATGCACAAAGTTTCCTTAAAAAAAGTTTATCAGCAACGGTTTTAAAACAAGTTATCAAATTTGCAACAGTTTGAAAAGGAAGCTGCATGAAGCAACGAATGTTACTTTTTGAAGAACTTCAAGTGTACTTTGAGACTGAATGTAGTATCAGTTCTTGCTGTCTTACTCTGACAAAGGAGAACAAACGTCAAAAAGATTCATTTTAAATCTATTGGAAAAGCTGCAGATATAACCTTGATCCTGATGCCACAATTCTTATGTAAGTTTTCCATTCTGTAGGACTGTTGGCAGGAGATGAGCTATGAAAAGGTGGATTAGGATCAGGGATCAGTTTAGCAAGATATATCCAGTATCAATTAAAAGCCAGACCCCACGGATAAGAAACAATTCAATGCTTTGTGTTGTCAAACCATTTCACTTCAGTCACTTCATGTTTAATGTGGAACAATAACAAGTTGTATTGCAAATTTCTCCACACAGAGTTGGTCATTTTCTCCTAATGCTTTTGAATCTCTTTTAGAGAATCTTGAATTCAAGAGTATGGGTATGTGTAAAATTCAGAGATACTTTTTCAGGAGTAAACCAAAGGAAACTAGAAAAATGCAAATGTAGTGTAAGTTGCTTTTTCTGATAAAGAATTTCAAGTTCTGACTGCTTGTGGAGTGACTTTTAACTTTGATTTTTCAACCCCTGATGCAATGGGAAAAAAAATGTTAATTAGTTTCTTGATTTTTTTTTGAATGCAAAATCTCTGTAATCGTCATAATAAAGGCATTGTTGCTGCTTTACATAAAAGTTAAAATTCAAAATGTCTTATCTGTCCACTGATTTTTTTCTTTCTTACAGCTCTGCCAATATCTGCCGTGCTGAAATGTTTTAATTTTTGAATTTTCTTCCTTTTTATCTTTGTTTTCTCTGTTGCTGCTTTTTTCTGTGACACAAGCCTTTCATTATAGTCACTCTTCTTTTTTCCTTCCCCACTTCTTTCTTTTCCTTTTTAAAGCCATGAGAAGCCGATCCATTGGTGAATGTGCTCTGCCATCGGCCTATATACGCAGTGCTAAAAGTGCTCCTGTTCTGATCCATACTTCCAAACCCTTCTTGCCTGATATTGTTCTCACTCCCCTTTCTGATGAGCTTTCAGGTAGTGCCACCTCTGCTAATTTCTGCACCCCCTTTATCACTTTTTTAAACCTTCTGCTTTCAAATTCTGCTAAATCATTAAATTTTTCAAAGTAAAAATGCTTGGGGGATGGGGGGAGAGGGGAAGAGATTAAGAATGAATATTTTGAGTTGTGTAAAATACCATGCTATTTTGCAATTCATTCTGGAACTGTTGGAAGTTAGTGCTGTGCCAATGTTTACTATCATAAAAATGAAAATTAGAGAAATCTCTCGCTTTTTCAATTTATTTGTAAGCAGTAATATAGCATCTGTCTACCAGAGAGTACAACTAATCTGAAGTTTTTATTTGTGATTAGTGAAGGAGGGAAAGGAAGAACATAATTTTACTTTGACTTGCCATTTACATTTTTCTACATAGAGGTTGTGTGGACAGCCATGATAATGATATACTTCAGCTCCCATTAAAAAAGAATGTCTGAAGTGTATGGTGTCATATAATACACTTTACAGCATTCCTGGTTTTCATTAATATATAAAAACATAAAAAAATCTAGACAGTTTGGAATTATGAAAAGCGGTGTTTTGGTGTTGTTTTCCAAATGATCCGGTTTTTAGAGACCTGTAGACTTTTCCTCCGCATCATGTTTGGTCCAGCAGGGTGGTTGGCTAGAAGTTTGACAGTAGCTTTCTTTGGATAATTTTCTTTGAATAAATAGGGTCAGCAGTTAGAATTATCATACATTTAAAAAATGCATGCAGGAAAGTTTACAGATAATGTTATTTTTTTTCCTGTGCTCCAGCTATTACATAAGTATAAACTAGTAGCATGTAAGGCTGACGATCATATTATGCCTTTGTCTCAATAATTGAAAAAAAAAAAAAAAAAAAAAAAAAAAAAAAGAAAACATAGTGGGAGGGTCTATATATATAGGTAAAACTGTGTACAGATATAAGGACTTGTCGTGGTTTAGGCCGAATTGGCTACTGGGGACATTACTGAACAAAATTGGTCCTGTTTTACCTCAGGCCAGGACAGGAC